AAGCACTTCTCCTTTGCCGAGATAATCCATCCACCTCATAGGTGTGGCATATCAAGATGCTGATCAGACAGCATGGGTATTGCACAAGTATGCCTTAGGCTGGCCACAATAAAAGGCCTCGAAAATGTGCAGTTTCACTGTATTGGGGTGGTTCGGGGGGGACTGGAAAACCAGTCAGTATCTGGTGTGACCACCATTTGCCTCACGCATTGCAAAACATTTCCTCCGCATAGAGTTGATCAGGTTGTTGATTGTGACCTGTGCAATGTTGGTCTACTCCTCTTCAATGGCTGTGCAAAGTTGCAGTCATCAGTTGCATGCAGATGAGCTTCCCTGAGACGGTTCCTGACAGTTTGTGTAGAAAGTCTTTGGTCATGCAAACCAATTGTTGCAGCATCTGTCTGGGTGGCTGGTCTCAGATGATCTTGGAGGTCAAGATGCTGGATGTGGAGGTCCTGGGCTGGTGTGGTTACACGTGGTCTGTGGTTGTGAGGCCTTTTGTGTACATAGAGAAAGTCTTAGATCTTTGAGTTCAGCTCACAGTGAATGTGGACAAAAACAAGTGCTGCGTTTATAATTTTGTTCAGTGTAAATTCTATTCTTTGTAAAATACATTTGGGAGACAGATGGTATATTTCATTTTTTAATGTTGAAGTTAGAATTTCTTAATTTATGCACTTATTTGACAATGGCTTGTGCGAGAAATTTTGAAAACAAGTTAGAAGTATTTTTCCCTACTTACTTGCTCAGGCCCATTGATCTGTTCATCTAGTAACTAGACCCTCCTCATCCCTGCCTGCATTTCTTTTCTACTGAGCTTCTTTACCTTCTTGTCTACTCATTCCACATTTATGTAAAGTATGGTCTCACTTTTCGGTCTGCTACCCTGCATGTGCTGATATGGTTATCTCTTTGCCAGGTTTCCCAGTCCGTATGCCATTCCGCCTGCCTGCCATCTGTGTTCCTTTCTCAGGAGTTTTTTCATAACTATCTCCTGGCAAGGAGGCACATGCTAGATTACATAGGGGGTGGATGGGTGGAGGGGCCCTGAAAAACATGATGCGAAAATCAGGAGAGGAGTCGAAGCCTCAGAAAACACAAGAATAAGCTCACCACACTCGTCATGTGCCATAATGAGATCTCACTAGTGAAGCATTCTTAACATTCCTCATAAAAACGTGTGTAAGGCTTACGGCTAAACGCGTGCTTGGCTCAGCTTTTCTCCGCTTCTCTCCGCTTCTCTCCACCTAAACACAGCGTTCGGGTGAGGCTCTGAAGGAGATGGTGGTGGACAGGAAATGAAAATGCAGGGCATGGGAGTTTGATATTTGATTGCATCTCAGACCAAATATGTGCAGATCTTTAGCCTGCCTCCAAATGTTCAGATGCAATCGACTGTTCATTGAGACTTTGATTAATTTTCTGAACTACGTGATCGATAATAGGGGTGGGAATCGCAAGGTACCTCACGATAGTATTTCTGATTCTGATACGATACACGATACATGGCTCACGATAGCGATAATATCACGATACAGCAATTCTGCAATAATCTATATATTGCTAGACAATCCTAAAATGATACATCACAATAGCTGTCTAACTATGAATACATAATGCCTGTGAAAAACTTTTCTCTATTTATTTGCTGCAAAGCCAAACTGTTTAAGAAGACAGTTTAAGTTTAATAGACACCTAAGTCTAATATGTATGTCACATTATATTGATAACTGTTCAGTGACACAGCATTGTGCTGCCCTTTCTCCACCTAGTGATAGCTATAGAGTTTTGAGCCTTTGGGGTTGCTGTACCTAGTCTGTGTGGAGTGCTGAAGCAGCAGAGTAGCGGATGAACAGTGAAGTTAGCAGCTCTTTTTTATTTCACACAGAGCTCAGGAAACATATGTATTATATATGTACTGTATTTGCACAGTATGTCACTCATCAAGTGAAGCAAAATGTGTAGTTTATGTTAAGATTATATTATCACCATTGCGATGATAATGTTCGTTAGCACGTTATAGGAGATTCACATAACGATATACTGCTGTATCGATTTTTTTTTGGCACACTCCTAATCAATAGACCAATTATTTAAGCAGTATAATTTTTTTTACATTCCCTTGTAGCTAGCACTCATGAAGATTTGATGAGGGAGTGGGGGTTGACAATTTGGAATACTTAGTACAACTTGTATGCATCATTTCAAACTTGCTCTCACAGCTCCAGCTTATTTATGGGTGCCTAATGGGTCTTTGCCCCAGGCAGTGTCTCTCTGTGGTGAGCAAGCTTGCAGAGAGCTGCCTAGATGGGATGCTCCACTGTCTCTTTAGTGTGCAAGCTCATTGTCTGCTGTCACGTGTGTTTGTGTATAGTGTGTGCTTGTGTTTGCTTTTGGCTTAATCAGCACTGCTGAGTTTAGGGATTCCAGTTCATCAGAGAGAAAAAGAGGGAGAGTCAGCAAGATATGAGCAAGTAGGAGAGAAGATGGAGGTTCAGCAGATAATGGTGTGATTTTAGATGGACAAGTAGTAAAAAGAGGGCTAAGGAAAGGCTTGGCTTTAGGACATTGGGAAATAGAGTGAATATGAGGTTATGGCAAAGGTTACACAGATTTTGCATGACAAGCCAAAAGGTGACATCAGATTTGTTTTCATGGTATTGTTGGTATAAGGAAGTTTCATTTAAATTTGAAGTTTTAATTCTTTCAGTCTTTGATTTGAGTTTTGTCTCCTAAACCTGTACTAACTGATTTTTTGGCCACTTAGGGGCAACGGAAAACAGCTGTAGATAAAGCACTGATGTGTTGTCAACTTGTTAGCATTAACACATCCAGCAGACATAGCGCAACATTAGCCCTTATTTATTTCTGTCCACCTGTTGAATTTAAGTCATCTGTGAAGTCCCGCTGTGGTAAGGAGAGTTCTGCCTCTTTGGGGAAAAACTCCATAAAAGCTGGAGGTTCCTTCTGCAGCCTGCTGCTTGTAAACCCTGAGGGAGCCATTAGCTTGAGGTCTGCTGGCAGAGGCCACAGTCAGAGCTGAGAGTGCGTCTCGGCCAGCTCACAGCACAGCAGAGACATGGGGAAGGTGGTGGGAGTTTGACAAAATACACTCTGTTTTGGTGGAATTATTAAAAGGTGCTGTAAAGGAGCTTTTTAGCCATGCTAGCACTGTGGCTTTAGGGATGTCAATGTCCAGACTGAAATATCTTAACTAGTGGAGGGATTGGCATGAAATTTGGTACAGACATTCACGGTCCTCTTTCCTCACTTTCTTCTAGCGCCACCAACACTTTAAAAGTTTTCACTTATTCTGTGAAATATCTCAATATCAATTTAATGTCCGCACAGAACTTTGTGCAGGCTTTTATGGGCCCAGATGATGAATCCTGCAAACTTTGGTGAACCTTTCTTTTCCGTTAGGGCCACCAGCAGGTTGACATTTTTGGCTTTTAGTGAAATATCTTGACAACTTATAAATTGATTGCCATGAAATTTGTTCCCTCAGGATGAATTGCAGTATCTTGGGTGATCCCTTAACTTTTCAGATAGCGCCATCATCAGGTCAAAGTTGATGCCATTTAATGACTAATATCTCAAAAACTAATCACACTCCCCTCATTCTCAGCTGTACTTTATGTTTAGTGCTTATTATCAAACATTTGCATGCTAACACAGTAAACTAAGATGGTGTCAATGTAAACAATTACATCTGCTGAACATCAGCATGTTAATATTGCCATCATGAGCATTTTGGCACGTTGATATTGGCATTTAGCTCAAAACACATCTGTGCTCACAGATCTGCTAGCGTAGCTGTAGACTTTAAGTCTTGTTTTTACTTGGACTGAATTCATTAATTGCAGACAGGTTGATCCTTCCCTTCCCAGTGGGAAAGCCACGGGCTCTGTGGTATGCACCAATTACAGTGTGTTCCCTCTTCCCCGTAACCACCCTTGACCTGTGTGTGTAGCTATAGCCAAGTGGATGACTCAAGGTGACTTATTTCCGTACACCAGCTCAGATTAGGGCCTTGGCTGTTTTACAATTTCTTTCATGGTGACAAATTATTATTTGAAGTTGGCCTCAAAGTTCAGCCACTAAGTGACTTCATTTTCTAGCAACAGCCCATCTCTATTACTGATGATTTAGTAATGATATTACATGTGTGGCTCGGCCAAATAGGGAGATCTGACATTACAATGAATAGGTTATCTGATCTTGCTGTAAAGGGTATGCTACTAAGTCCTGTCATCCCCAGAAACTGGAGACTTTTTGCAACAAGCACCTTCACTGTCTGTTCTAACCCCCCCCCAACTCTTTCTGCACCCCTTCCCTGCTCTTACCTTCTCCTTCCTGCACATGGATTCTCTGTTTTTCTCATTAGGCAGACATAAATATTGGTGCTCTCAGTTGCTCTGTTATGATATCTTTATCGTGTGTGTACATGTAGAAGATGCAGATGTAAACACTGCCTTTTATCATACCCTCAGTGCAGCGTTGGCCAGCTAGTCAAGTAGGTTTTAGAGGTTTATTTGACAATGGTGATTTGTTATTGTGGAGTACAGCGAGCTTACCCATGATGAGCACACTTTTGTATAAAAACCAGAACAGGGCTTACTCCCATTTGCTCCATTTTCTTCCTGTCTCTTTAGTCGTCGTTCATTTCTCTCTGATCTCTTCCCAACAAGACACCCCACCCGCTTCCCTCTGTTTACCTTTGCTAGAAATCTCTCTAACCAGAGTTTTTCATTTTATGACATGGTGTGTCTGTCTCTTCTGTGTGAGAGTGTTTCTTGTGCTCATAGTCACTCTCCCTCCCTCTTTTTTGCTACGTCCTTATATAAACAGAGGTAGTGACTTCAGCCTGCGTGTCTACAATATATTTTCACAGTTTTACCTAGAAAGGTGTGTTAATGGATGTGTAGCTGGCTGGGTGGCTGGTTTGGTGTTTTAGTGATCGAAAGAGATGCCAAATTGACTTGTGTGTTCTGTTTCAGATGACAAGCCCGTCCAGGAGGAGGACTGGGTGGTGTGCCAGCACCCGGATTGTCCTGAGCGCCGGAGGGCCTCTAAGGTAAGATCCTTAAACTTGGCTTAATCTGTCAGCTATCAAGAAGGTCCCTGCAGGAGTTCACTGACAAGAAGAACAGTTAGCAGGCTTATCTTCAGAGTGTCTTAAATTATGTTTTCTTAACCCAAGATTATGAAATTTTGGTTATTTTTGGTATAGTGCACTTATTCGCTTTCTTGCAGAGAGTTAGATGAGAAGATACCACCCTCATGTCTGTATGCTAAATATGAAGCTATAGCCAGCAGCTGGCTTACAGTTAGCCTGACTCGGTCTGAAGGTAACAAACTCTTCCTACCAACACCTCTAAAACTCCCTAATTAACATGCGATATCTTGTTTGTTTAATCAGTACAAAAAACAAAATGTTAAAAGTAAAAAACTCTCTGTTGGTTACATGACAACTCCAGGAAGCGCCTGGCCAAGAAATAGTCTGCCCCCCCCCCCCCCCGCAAAACCACAAATTTAACAAACAAGATATTATGTGTTAATTAGTGAGCTTCTTTTGGACAGAACAGGTCCAGCTTTTTCCACCTGTTACCAGTGTTGCAGTGCTAAGCTAAGCTAAACGTCTACTGACTGTAGGCTTAAATTTAACTGACAGACACGAGAGTGGTATCAATCTTGTCTATGGGCCAGAAAATGAATAAGGGTATTTCCCTAAATTTTGATCTATTCCTTTAAGTTACTGAGGATAGAGAGTAAAAGATGCACAACCGCATGTATTTTGACCCTTGTCAAATTGTACCGAGAGGTTTTGCATCTCTTGTGTTGCATTACAACACTGTGAGCGATGCTGCTTTTCTTTTTTTAGGTGTTAAAAGGGGCGTGCATGTCGGGGCTCTGTGTCTGGCCACTAGACTGTGAAATGAATTATTCCTTTGAAGCCACTGGTTTCTGAAAATGGGAGTCTGGCCGACAACCGACATAGTGTCTGGTCTATCTGTCGGCCTCTTGGCTGTTTTGGTTTGCTGGCTCCCTCCTGCCACTAGATCTGAGCATTAGACGGATTTTCTCATTGAATCAAGATGTTGTCCTTTGCTGTCCTCTCTGCGGAAACAAAGGGAAGGGAAAATGACACAGAAAAGAGGGTGAATTTAGATTTAGTCAGCACATGGAGAGAGACGGATATATATAGTTTTTCTCCATGGCAACCGAGAATAATAAAGTGTGGGGGGGGGGGGGGGGGAGAGCTATAGAGCTTAACCTGAACTATCCTTGCTGCCTCTTTCTGTGCTCCTCACATTATTGAGTCTCCCAAACCCAGTTTTCTTGGCCCCTCTCACAAGACCCTAGCTTTGTTTTTTTTTGTTTTTTTTTTTTTTTTGCAGTTGAGTGGTGAGTCAGGCAGAAGGTGAGTTTATGTGCTGTGTTTTAAATACGTGTATGCAAGTTTATATGACCTGCTGTGACACAGGGGGGAGGCAGTGTGGGAGAAAGCATGTCTGACTGACGCCACCTTTCTCCTTGGTCAGGGTCAGGCTTGACGTTATTATGTAAGGAGATTAGGGAAAGACGTGTAGCCCATTGTGGACTGGGATAGACAGACAGACAGAGAGAAGGCGGGGGAGATGACAGCAGATACAGAGAAGGCAAAAAAAAAGATAGGGGTCCAAGGAAAATGATGCAAGCACTAGTGTTTTTACACTAGTGCTTGCATCATTACACTTACTCATCATTTCTTGACCCCAAAAGGATCCTTTCTGTCATAGTAAAGAGGTGATATTCCAAGATGTCACAATTGCTAGTACATCTGGTGATTTTAGTTCATTGAGGTGTGACGTAAGAACAGTGAAAAGGTGAGTTATGATAGTTAGGCCATTTCCAGACTGTAAACAAATGAACTGTTCTGTGCTGTGTAATCGTTTCTGACACATTTCTCATTTAGCCCAATCTTATGGCTGTTTACTGTGAGAGTTATACATGTATTGCCTGTAACAAGCTTGAAACAGCAGGGGGCAATGGCAACCCTGGCCTACAGGCCTCACTCAGTCTGCATTTGCTTTACAAAAGTGAGAGGCACATTTCAAGGAAGAATGGGAACATGAACATAAATATATCCCTTGATTTTAGCCCACTCCATCCACTAAACCGATTTAGATGAATCAAAGAAGGCATTTTTATATGAAACATGAAACTTTTATATAAAGAGTTTTTTAAAGGGACAATGTGTAAATCCTGGCCACATGCTCCAAACAAACAGGAGGCAGCATTTGGGTGGGTGGCGATGGTGTAGTGGATAAAACACATGCCTTTGGTGTGGGAGACCAATGTTTGATTCACACTGCGACACATCCAGCAGTGTGTCCCAGAGCAAGACACTTAACCCCTAGTTACTCCAGAGGCGTGTGACCTCTTAAACACATACTTGTAAGTTGCTTTGGATAAAAGCTTCAGCTAAATGAGTAAATGTAAATTTCACTTCCCCGTCAGCCAGGTTATTGTCTAAGAAATTCTGCTCTTTTCTCATCAGATGTAGAGCTTATCTTTATAATAACCTCATCAATGAAGCTTTTTATGTCTCACTGGATTAGTTGCTTCTTCTGCTACAATGAAGTTAAAAGCTTCAGCTTCTCTCCTGCCTGTGTGTTTCTGCTCCTCTCTGTCACTCAACTGACAAATATGTGGAATAAGTACGCAATTTAAAAAACACAAGAACAAACAGCAGTGATACTGTTTCTAATAATTATAGTGGAAAGGCAGATTTTGGTATTTCATCATGTGGGTCGGAAAAATCGAGAACTGAAATTCCATTCATCGGCATTAGATCATTTATTTTTATTTATTTAACCTTTATTTAACCAGATGATCTCATTGAGCTCTTTAACCTCTTTTTCAAGAGAGACTTGGCCAAAATAACAGCATATTGACAGAGCAGAGTTACAGACAAGAGGAATTTGTATCGTTAATAGTTGATTATCAGTGTGTTTTCTTGTCAGATGCAATTGTGGCTGTGCCTACAGCCCAATATGTTAACATGAGCGCTGAAAGGAAGCGGGCAGCACTTTAGTGTGCTTCGCCTCCTGTGTGTCGCCAGACAAAGACAATTTTACACCCAGTCTGCTCAGTAAGAGACAGGAAAGTTCAAGTGCTGGCAGGAGACAAAAAAGTAGAGGTTGCAGAGGAAGGAGAGGTCAAGGAGCGTGAGGGAGAGGGAGAGGGAGAGAAACCAGCTTGTAGGCAGCTCATGAGCAGCATTGATTGACAAGCACCTCTGGGCATCTCTACTTCGCTGTGGGGGCTGGTGATGGTGCAGTGGATAAGACACATACCTTTCGTGTGAGAAACTCGGGTTCAAATCCTCACTATGACACATCCAGCTGTGTGTCCCTGAGCAAGACACTTAACCCCTATTTGCTCCAGAGACCTATATAGCAAGTGGATAAAAGCGTCAGCTAAACGTAATGTCGGGTTGGAATGAGTGCAGATTGGACACTACAGCATCTCGAGACACAGGTGGTATTACATCACTGGACCGGCCGAGGGTAGCTGCTAACTTCAGTAGATATCTCTGCAACATAATACATTTATCTCTGTGACGTAATATCAGAGCTGTCCATTGTGTTCTGGAGCTCAGGTTAGTTGAATTTTTGTTATTTTGTTTTAAACTAAAATTCTGACCTTTTATTAAAGTACTACAAATAGTCTCTTTGATATTCCGGTGGCTTGGCAACAGGACACATAGCAGACACAAACACAGACAAACAGAGAGAGAATCTTAGGCTGGTCCTGCACTGTATTTAAACCATTTTAGTCCCAGACAGGCATGCATTTGGTTTCCTGCTGCCATATATCAGCTCCCACCTGGGCTGCGTCTCTTCCAGTAATAGCACAACTGGCCTGGAACTGAATAAGTTCACCTGCATCATAATTTACTACTTTAAATCACACCAGGTTTCAGCCTCTCTGCTTGTGCTGCCGTATAGCTCAGCGCTGTCACTACATTACACAACAGCACTAAAAGGGTACTAGAGGGCTTTTAGATGGCCCGACATGTGTTTCTAAGAGGGCTATTTGGATACTTTGCTCTTGGGTTCATCAAGCCAGTGGGATTTAAAATCAGCCTGCAGGTGTCCAACTGGAAGATTATGTTCAATCCAAGGTTAGGCTGGCTGAGTTGGTGGGATTCATTTCAGATTATGCTGGTTAGCTCTCATTGCTAGTCTGAGCTTGCTTCCTGGACCTAGACTCCCACGTAGAAGGGCCTATTATTCCTGATATCATGCCACCCAACCCCCCTTTCACTTCTATCTCCTTCTCCTTCATTTCCCTCCCTCCCTCAGCTTTGGCAAGACATGATCAGACAAGACAACACGTAAGGTGTGGGTTGCCTTGGTATCGGGCCCCTCCCAGTCCAAACAGCTGGAGGCGCAGGGATAATGTGTAAAGAGTATGGGTTTGACAGATTGGATAAGGGAATGTTTAAGTGAGCTGACTTTGACTTTTCGGTTTCCACTTTGCATTTCCACGAAACATCACAAGAGTTGGCGTATTGATAGAAGTAAAATACGATAAAGCGTAATAGAAACAGACTTGACAAATAAATACATGAAATGCGTTCAGCAATTTGGGCATCATTTTGGGTACTTACAAATGCGTGTAATTTAATAGACATATATGGTTTAAATTAGCTATTAGGTGGTGGACTTTCTCTTTTGCTGGGAAAACAGCCAGTCCAGGCAAAAATGTTGACTGAAGCTAACCCAAACCACCGAGGTGGGGCAGAAACACAATTCTAACGAGAGGGAAACACCTTTCGACAGGGGAACAGACTTCACCACAACACTGGCATCCGCTTTTCTTGAATATTTGTTTTAATATGTGCTATGGTCATTTTGGTGGAAATTTGGTTTGTGTCCATTGTCTGGTTGACTTTCATTCTCTCTCTCCTCCCTTTTTCTGTCCTTATTCAGTCACATATTGTGAGAAATCCTTTGCTGTTTTGTACCCCTGTGATAGCGTCTAAGGACAGAGGAGAGTGTTGTATGCTGTACAGATTGTATAGCC